TCTTTTGAAAATTTCTTTAATAAATTTTCCAATAAAGCATATACAAATTTAATAATACTTGTTTAAAAAATAAACTAAGTATTTTAATAAGAAATAAAATAATTTCTTTTTTTAATAAACATTTTAATTTATTAATTAGTTCATTATCAAAAAATATTTAAGAATATAAATTTATGAATAATATAAAACATTTGAATTTAAATTATTTTAAAACTTGTATATTATTATATAATAATATAAAATACTTTTTTTTTTTTTTGTAGGTAAGGTATATATTATAAAAGAAACAATATTTTTCATATATTGGTACAATAAGTTAAATACTAGCTTGTCTATAGTAACCATATAATTAATATTGAAAAAAGAGTTTAAAACAATATATTTTGTTATATAGTATTAAGCAGCTATAAATATCTATTTAGTATTAGAAAAAATAATATTTGAAAGAGATGAAATTAGATTTTGAATATATTTAGAGAAATTATAATTACATTAAATAAAAACATTAATAATTATCATAAATAAATTAATAATAATTTTACTTTAAATAATATTAGAGTATGAGCTTTTTGTGAAAACAATATGGTTTCTTTTTGATCTAATTGAATTAACAGTACTTAATAGTTCATTTGGATTCTACTTGATACTAGTAAAAAGTAATATATTCGCAGTATTATAACATGGTTTCTAAATTGTGTTATATAATTGAGCTAAATACTTTATTAATATTTTGATCTAATTGATAATATTTGTTGTGAAGAAAATTTTATCAATTATACCATATAACAATTCTATTACTTGCCATATATGAAAAATTGATCTGAGATTTTTATCTGAATAGAAGATTTGATTAATATTGTTTATAATCTGATTGGCCTCTTTTGAGGCTTTAGAGTACTTGAAAATATATTGAATATTCTTGATACAAAATATAAAATATTTTTTATTTTATTAATTAATAATTAGTTATATTAAAAATATTTTGAAGATTTCTAATATTTTTTAAGATTTTATAGAAAAATTTGAAATTCTATATTAAAATAATCTGATAATTAAATTATTTTGTTAAATGTTTAATTTTGTTTTACTTATAATTTATTCATTTATAGATTAGTAAAGAAAGAATATATAAAGAACAAAATAATTATGATTAATGAAAAAATACAAAAAATTCTGTTTCATCAGGTTCTAAATTAATTTTAATAATATTATATTTTGATACAACAAATTGTAATACTTTGGAAAAGAGTTTATTATATTTAATATATATTTTATTAGAAAACATACCAACTTGAAGATATAATAAACTGGATATAAAACAATTATTAGAATATTTGTCAATAATTAAATTAGAAAATATAATAGAAAAACAATTATAAAATTTTAAAAAAATTGTATATGAATCTTTTATAGATGTTTAAAAATATTATTTGAGCTATTAATTTTAACAAAAAATATAATTAACTATTCAATTGAAGGCAAAAACATTCAATTTATTTTAAAAATATCAATAATTATATTTGAAGGTATTGATATCATCAATATATAAATAGTGCTTGAATTCTACATATTTTAAGATAGATAGAATTGATCTATTGTTATATTGTGTTATGACTCTTGAAGATATTGATATCATCAACATATAAATAATTATTTTCAAAGGTGAATTGAAAATTTTCTAATAATCCAAAATTTATATTATATGATATATGTATTGTTTAAAAGTTGGATCCAAAAAAATAATATCTAGTATTTTTATTATCTTCAAAAATAATTATCCAATTACAATTATATGTTATACTTTTTTAACAATATTTTCAAATCAATTTCCATTTATTTCAATTTTCTTTTTTCTAATTCTAAACAACTATTATAATTGCTTGACACTATATAACAAGATGTATACTTTTAAAATTTCTTTTCAATATTAATTATTTGATTTTTTGTAAGCAAGTTAACATTTAACTTATTATATTCATATATGAAAAATATCGTTTTTTTCATGATGTACAGTATATACAGTATATTTTGCAATCAAATAAAGAAATGATGTTTTACCTACTTAAAAAATAAATAATAAATTTATTTAATTCATAATTATTTTAAAATGTGTACAGTATACTGTATATAAGCAAACGATGGTTTTTAAGATAATTCGAATATTAAAACAATAGGTTTTTGCGATTGTAAAAGGTTTTTAGGAAATCGTACGCAACGGTTTTTTAAATTTTATATACAGTATGATCAAGTATATAAATTTTTTAGTGATAAATTACATTATTCAAATCTGCCAATATGAGAATAATCAAATATAACGATTTTGCAAATGGTTTATTAAAAAAAAAAAAAAAAAAAATTAAGGTATTATTTTTTATTACATATATAATTAAAATTCTTTTATATCCCGCTTAATGGAAAAAAATTTATTTCTATCCTCAAACTTTGATATGCTTTTATCGTTTTCACAAACAATTCAAAGAATTATTAATGTATCTTGCGTGTATGAAGAGTATGTTATATGACAAAAATGCAATTATTTGATGACCAAGAAAATGTGATGTGAAATGAAGACTGTAAAGATGATATAAAGTAGCTAATGATATAACTAAGAACGAAGTAAGCTACATGAAGTGGTAAAAAATTACAAGTATTGCACATACATTTACAAAAAAAGAAAAACCACGATAATACACTTTTATTTTATATTTTTTTTAAAAGGATTAAACAATTGTTTTTTCACAAAGATTGTCCCCGCCTACTTCCTCTAATTCACAATAATTACTCAGGGTCCCATTCCTCACAATCAACAAACTCATCTTCCGAGTCTGAATCTGACGCATCCTCCTCAATGGTACTTGAAGACTCATTATTAACTCTTATATTTTGATAATCATCTTCGTCACCGTTTGACGACCCTACTTCAGATATAACTACCAAAGGTGTACTATTTCCATTCAACGTTTCGTCAACAGATTTTACCGTCTCGTCATCGTCACTCTCATATTTACCTTCGCTCGACTTGTTCATTTTTGCTGTTTCAACATACAATGTTTCAGTCGCCCGTGTCTCTGAAGGTCGCTTATACAAGAACTCATCTTCAAATCCCAACTTAATTTCGTCCTTCTCAATCCTGATATCTTCATTCGATCTTTTTCTCCCGATTCGCATTTTTTCAAAGTCTATCTTATCATTCTCGAATATTTTCTCGTCGAGATTCTTGTCATATCTATATTTGCTACTGAAGTTCGTGGATTCATCAAGAGAACTCAGTTCACTGTTTTCAAAGGTATCAACGCTAATGGTTGGAGTTTGAACCACCTCCAATTCCAATTCTGAGCTATTTGCTAGATAGCTGAATTCTTCATATTCATTATAATGTTGTGGAGACGTATGACTAGATCCTGTTATTAATGACGAAGGTGTCGAAGGTGTCGGTGATGCAGGTATGAGGTCTAATGTCGTCGCCCTGGCGCCCCAATTGATTGGCCTCTTGTCTAATCGGAGGTGAGACCTACCCGTACTGTCACTTGGTAACAAAGAATTATTTTTGTCCCGGTTGCTCTTTTCTTTCACGCTTCGTTCGTCATCATTCGTCAGGTCTTCAAGTACATGTCCACCTGTGTAAACCTCCGAAGATCCCAGTTGCCTTCTCGTCGGAGGATCAACTATTGGTCGGGGAGCCAGATGATCTTGTGAACTTTCACCTACTCTATACATGCTACTCCTATGTTGCCAGTAACCACTATTCTCCATCACAGTAGCACACAGATCCTTTTCCAGTATCTCGTGATAGCATACCAGCCTGCTGAGCTCCAGACAAGTATGCCTGAGCCGTTGTGCTACTGCACAGGATATTTGTATTATGCGATCCCTGGTGGAAGCTTTGTAGGGAATCATTAATATAAGATTATTTCGAAGTCGAATGTCCGTTTGCAATTGCGTGGTGAGAGTGGAGATTTTTTCTTGGAGTTCATCGATTCTTGACTATTTTCAAACCCCCATGGTTAAGAATGTAGATTAGAACAGGCATAGGTGATAATTGCGAAATACATATTTGACAAAAACCTACCCTCAGAAAATTGGCACGACCATGCGAATCCTTATTAGCGCTGTCGTCCTTACCAAGTCCAAGTAGACCATTACCTCCCTTATTACTTGCTCCGCCGATACCTAGACCAGTTCCAAGGGAGTTATTCACGACATTCCTGATCTTCAACCCGACGGTCCTGAATGTTGCGGCATAATTGATCTTTGATATCCAATCGTTCATTTCAGCCTCGCTTTCAGCTTGAAATAGGTATTGACAACCTTTAGGACACACGAGTCGAAATACATTCGCGTACTTTACATAGCTCTTATCATAAACTGCCACCGATTCGGCCATCATCAGTATTGCATCAGGTCGAAGTATCGGTAGTTTTTTCGATTTCTAAGAGTAATGTGAGGAGAATCAGTGGGGGAAATAACCTACGATCATGTATGTAAAGAATAAGCACATATATATATTACCTCTGGATTCTTCAATTCAGCTATTTGCCATACTTCATCTTTAAAAAACATCAACTGACTGCCACTCAATATTGCGCCGTATTGCCTCCAGTTACGCGAGAAATTTCCTTTCTTCTTACCATCAATCATGTCAATTTTTTTACCCAGCCTACCACCCTTGGTTATCTTTAGTGGATGAACTTCGTTGCTTTTATTAGAAACCGATTGATATTGATTAGATGAGATGCCATTGGCTGTATCATTTTTGTGACGATTCTGTACACCAGTAATCCGAATGGTTTGCGCGGAAGAAAATGCCCTGTGCAAATTCCCTACATCAAGTTCCGGTAATGTTCCCATGTACGAATACGGATTTTCCATTGGGACTATGTCTTTGACGGGGGGCATAAATTCTGTAGGTAATTTCTATTTAGCGTTCACAAGGGGTTGATCGTTTAACTTTTTTCGTATACTTTCGTAGGACGCGAATTCCTTGATAAAACGATATTCACTACTTACATTCTGTATGACCCAATACGGATTATTCCTGTTACGCACATACTTCCTCTTATCTTTGGAGGATGGAAAAAGTGTACGATGGTCTGGTGGTGATTCAATCATCGTCTGGCCGTTCACATCTGTGTCATCCTCGGCATACGTGAACTGCGCGAAGGTGATATTGTCGTAGAGAATCTAATCATAAATAATAATAAAAAAGCATGTGAGTATAAATGTTTATTAAAGAAAAAAAAAAAAAAACGAGATTTTGAGAATCAATGGTTACCTCTAGTATCTCTGGGTGCACACCTTCGATACGTGTGTTGTTAACGAACTGATCCTTTGTCATTTTGCGCTTAACGTTTTTGTTGAACGTATCCGTGTGCAGCATCAGCAAAGCGAATGCAAGAGTATGAGATGCGTCTGGTTGAGAGTATGATTTAAGTTAATTGGTGCAATTAACAACTGAATTAGGCGCGTAAAATTTTTTGAACAATTTGACCCACTTTACGACATCACACTAAATTTGTACTCGCACTCGCATACACAAACATATACACACAAAAATGATATAAATACCCGAGGATGCAAACAAGTCTGGATTCGACTCATGATACTTTTTCGCGAAGGCTTCTATTACACGATCGATCTGTTGAGTTTCTTTTGGAAGGTAACATTCCATTAAAAACTTCCTAGTAAACAAGTTATCTTTTTAACCACTGACGAAAGTTGTTACAAAGTTTCGTTTTTCTTTTCTTTTTTTTTTTTCAAAAAAAAAAAAAAAAACTCACCTCAACGCGATATCAATTGGATCCTTTTCAAAATTGAATGCTTCCATATAGGCCTTGAGGGCCGACTGGTGAAATGCATCGGATCTGTTACAAAGAATTGTTGATTATTAAATATCATTTGAAACATTTTCACCATACACCTATGTGATCTCAACTGTACATACTTCTTGGCTAATACGGTAGCTAACTTTGATTTTGACAAGGTATACTTCAACCGCTCGACATATTGTCGAGGAGTTTCGGTTCCAGATTTATTCTCGGTCACGGTACTCAACTTTGGTGAGGTTGACAAATTTATCAGGGACTGAGTAGCCATTGTGTTCCTTTCATAATTCTCTTCACCTGGTATTGGTATGTGTATCATTGGAGCAGATTCCATACGTTTGACCTTTTTCTGATTTTTATCTGAGCTATCATACGTTGATCCACCATTCGACGGATTACTCTTGATACCGCTTACCGGTGGTTTTAACATTGTGGTAGATGAGTTATTTGGGACATCTGACTTTTTTGACTTTGTGGTGAACATTGGGGACTTTGAATCGGAATTAGAACTCGTTGATGAAAGAGGAATATTTGGATGTGGGTGATTGGAAGAAGATTTCTTTGATCCATCAGATGGGCCTGACTTACTATCTTTATTACCACTACTAGAGCTATTGAACTCGTCTAGTGGCGACAAGGTAAAATCCCCCAGGTCAACATAAAGCGGTCCGTTTCCATCCGGAGGATTATTCTTGGCAGTCACAGTGGTGGTGGTCACCGTGGTCACTGTTGTTGTGGTGGTGGTTTTCGTTATTGTTGCACCGTCAGAAGCTTCCTCGGTTGAAGAAGAGATTTCCGTTTTCGGAGGTTTCGTGGATGATTTATGATCAGAAGTTTTTGTGGCTGAAGGAGCACTCGAGGAAGGCTTATTATTATTATAGTTAGGGTTGTGAGGTGGTATCGGGGGAACTTTGTGCTTACCAAAATTTAAGGGTGTTTTACTTTTACGGTCGTTCGATGACATGTTATTGTAGGGATATATATATATATATATATATATATATGTTCCTTTAGGCGGAATGGATGAAGATATTATATGGAAAGAGGGATCGATGCAATGAGGATATATGGGGGAATTAGGGTAATATGTTTATATGTTATTGACAAAAAAAGAAGGCAATAAACTTTCCGTTATGATGATTATGATGATGAAAAAAAGAATGAAAAATTAAACTGTCAAGATAAAAAAATAAAGATTAAAGAGAGAAAGTCAACTATATTGAATTTTGTACTGTATGTTAGAAAGCGCCACAGACGCCGGTACTTTAAGACATGTAGTGCATCCGCAATGTTTCTTTTTTTTTATTGAAAATTATAAATGAGAAACAGGGTGCTCTCGCAGATCCTTTTCTTTTTTTTTTTAGAAAAAAAAGAAGAAAAAATAGCGAAAAGGAGAATAAAGGAGATTATTCTTTATTCTTTTCGACGTCGTAAAAAGAAAAAGGGTGTTGAAATTGCACTCAAAAAAGGGAACTAATGATAACATGTAACAGCCGATAATTAAATTGGAAGCAGCGGCAATGTGGAAATATTTTTAAGTATAAAAAAAAAAAAACAATTAATTACACAGGTTAATATACAGGCAAGGTTACACGCACCAATGTCATGAAGCCGGTTTTGTTGAAGGAAGAAATAAATAGAAATTTAAGGTTGCCTGTTACAAATTATGGTAAATAACGTTGCCATTACCATCTTCGTTAAATATCTTTATTCTTTTTTGAGATAACATTCATACATTGGCAAATCCAACTATTCCAATTGAAGGAAACCCCCGATCCTTTCCTAATTAGTTCGACAAACGTCCTTTAATTGGTTGCTCTATCACTAGGATACACGGTTCCATCTCTTCGACGTGAAACAGGGGAATTTGCTGTTACACGACGGAGGGAAGGTCCTATTCCTGTTGTAGATAATAATGTTCATACCCGAGACACAAATCTTTGGAAAAACGTGAAGCTTAGAAGTTTAATCGATCAAGTGAACGTTAACGTGAGGAAATGCCTGCTTAAAGCGGCACGGATCTACGTAGCAAACAGTGTTATGCATCATTAATGCTTAATGCGATAAGAAATTTCAAGTACAAGCCACAAACGACAATGTGAATTCTCTTCATAAGTTCCGTGAAACAATAGAAGATAATTTGGATTTTCAATGAAATCGAATGTTTTCAATAAATAAGCATTTTCATCTTTAATCAACACTTGCAAATGCGTTGTTCCAAAGATAACTATTTGATAGTTCACCTCGTGAATAATTTTCGTTGTCATCGGATGCATTGAAATTGCTAATTTAAGGTTAATCAATACAAGATAAACTCATCAATGAATGTTTTTTTTTTGCACAATTCATATTTGGTACGTATGTACACATAACTTTTTTTTTTTCCCGAGATCATCCACGGATATTCTGTAAACGAGAGGAGTGCGTAAAGCAGCATTACGCCACTGGTTCTTTGTTATCATGGCTAGACCTAATGTATATTTTGGATAATCATTTCAATCATAAGTACATAAGAAAGGCGCATGTCGAATACTTTTGAAATCTCGGTGTGTGAAAATGGGATGCGCGTATGCGTGCATACGTAACTACGCACACCCATACCAGATACAGCAATCATAATAATAATAAAAAAAACCAGGCACTTTATTTCTCGTATTTGTTCGATGGACATTTAAGAAAAAAAAGGATTCCTTATTTTTTTTTTGGTAATCCGAACAGAACGCCAAGTCGAACGGAAATATAAATTGACGCTATGCCCTAAACCTGTTTTATTCTAAATGTCCAAATGTCCAATCAACCTCGGTTAAGCTAATCAAAACCATGGAACGAATAGATTACCTTCTGATGAATGGATTATAGTAACGGTCATCGATTATTAAATTAAACACATTGGTGTGAAGTTGAAATTTTGTGTGACCATTCATCAAGATCACGTACTTATTGATGTCGCACTTAATAAAAGAGAAAAAAACTAAAAAGCATAGAAAAGGTGAACCGACTAGATGACGAGATATTACATCACTTGCCAATGGTATACACCTGTCTATCAAGAAACCAATAATTTATACTCTATACGTTGTTTGTAATTTGTGCTTCCTGAACTTTTCTTTCACTTTCTATGCATCATCTTATGGTTACGAGAAAACAATAATCAATTAAAAAAAACAAATTAACTGGAATGAATCGTTAAAGTTAAAAATATTTGTGAGATCAAAGGTTGTTTATGATGGATTTATTATTGTCATTCTAGATAATCTTATATACGGAACCTGAATTTGCAGAGAACATCGGAAGTATAGATCTTTTGATGCATGAATCAATGATTTTTTATATATAAGGGCAATTTATTGATTTATCGATCAAAATTGATATACAGTGTATACTGTATTTACCTTACATAATAACAATTACTGTATATCAAGAAAATTCAATGTTTGGAATTATTTGGTTTCGAAGAAACCTATCTAATTTTTTATTAAAAAAAACAATAAGCAACCTCTATCATAAAATTATATCTTTAATATATTTTTCTATACATATGTAATTGTTATCAAGTTTTTAAAAAAACTAATTTGAATTAATTAGATGATTAGACTTATACAGTATATTCCTATTCTTCACTTTTCATTACTTATCAAATCAATTTGTACTACAGCTACAGTATATCTATCCATAGTTATATTATTTGTAGTTATCTATAATAAATTTCAGTTTAAAATTATTTTGTCAATTTTTTAATTTCATTATAAAACTTATAAAAAATTAATATAAGACAAAATGAAATGATTATAAATAAATATAAATAAACTTTTGTTTATAATTTATTTATATATTTTTATTTTATTTTATTTTTAATCTTTTACAAAATTAACATGTATTTATAAAATTAAAAATATATTATTTAATTAATTTTATTAAATTATATTATAAAAATAATTAACATATCAATTATATCAATTTATAAAAATATATAAATTATATTTTATATATGTTTTAATAATTTTGAAATTATTATATAAATAATTACTATTATTTAATATTATTTAATTAATATTACTTAATTTTTTATTGTTATTATCAATAATAAAATCATTTTTTTTTTATAACTAACATACACCTTGTTTATTAAATATTGTCATAAGTATTCTTATATATTTTGTAACAAATGTTGAACTCTATCTATTTCCTAAACTATCTAAAATAAAATACATTACCTATCAGTCAGTTTGTTGTTCTCTATACCTTTTATATTATTAATACCAGAGTTTCAATAGCATAGGTGAAAAATATAACTTGTCAAGATATATGTCTCTAAGTTTTTATCTGTCATCTAATAAACAGGAACTTAAAACAATTAATTATAAACTAATTATATTCTATTAGCTCTAACTAGATCTAAAAAAAGTAAAAATGGAAGTACATGTATATGTTTACATATAGATATTTATAATAATTTACAGAAAACCCCTTAAAACCTATAGGACATATTTGTAAAACTATAAAGAAGAAAAAACTTGTTTTGTATATTATTATAATTTCTATATTAATTTATAATTGGCTCATACTTCTTATACCTTCTTATTAATCTTTATCAGTTAATTAGAATTGATTATTTGTTTTCTGTTTTAAGTAAAGTTCTACTATTACTATCTATTATAATCAGATAAAATTTAATTATAAAATATTCAATCCCAAACCAAACAAAGAATTAAATACTATAGCATAAATAAAGTTTATGAAAAAAAGTAAAGAATGTTGATCTTTATTTCCATTTATGATTGTGTGTTTTGTTATATTAATATTGTTTTTATATTTTGTTAACCTATATCTTTTAGCTATATAAGAAATATCACTTGACTTTTTGTTATTAAAAAACCAATCCAAATCTTAATAATACTTTTAATTTGCTATTCAAGATAATTTGTTTGAAAATGAAAGAAGTTATTTTTGACTTTATAACTTTTTTATCAGTAAAAATTATATTTTCAAAGAGAATACAATATAATATTGCTAATTAGTATGTTTGTGAATTCTTTAACAAAGATTTTTTTTAAAAGAAAAAAAACTTTCTAAAAAAAAAATTTTTAAGAAATGTGTAGTGAATAGAAAAGAGTTTTTTTTTCAAATATAATCTAATATATCTAATATTAATTTTTTTAATTACTAAGTTATAAAAAATAATTATACTATATAAAATACTTTATATTCAAAATCATATTAAATATAATTGTACTTAAGTATAAAATAAAGTTTGTAAAAAGTTTAAAATTAAAAATATCTTATTATATAATAATATTATAATTACTTGATAATTAATTTTTAAAGATCTGTGGATCTATAATGCAGTGGTTAATATTTCACAAGTCAAATCACAAGATACTGGTTCAATTTCAAGTGAAGATAATTGAATAGAACTTATATGATATTTGATACCATAACCTATTATATATTGTTTCTTATATAAAGTCATTTCACATATTGATTTAGCAGACATTGAGATTGTAATTTTCAGAAAAAGTGTTGTGACACAACAATCATTTGAAGTGTTATGATGATTGCCAGAAGCATACATATAGTGGTTGAACTATGTGATAAGCTAAGAGGCATGTGTTTAACTTTTTTAATTAAGATTCCTCTTATATTTAAATGTATAGACTGAACTGTACTCTATCTTAATTCAATCCTGATCATTTATATCACTATTAATCACCAAGTAAGAAGGTTTTAAAGAAATTATACTATTGTTACCTCTTCTATAGATGGAATTTAATCTTAATAGCACCTGAGTATATAAGAGTTATGTCCTGCTTAACATTCATACCCCTAGATTTGGTAACTAAGGCCAACTGGTTCCAAACTGAAATGTTTACCAGAAGGCTAAGAGTTGATACCCTTTAAGAATCATGCCCATTTGGTCATATGGCTTTTAGATTTAATAATATTTAACTAGTAATCAAAACTGGAATATTCACTAGGGAATATATATCAATCTTGAGGGTCCCACTGATGTATTAGAAAGGAGCAGTAGAAGTGATATAAGAAATCTCTTATGCAGATAGTTAATAATATATACTTTATAAGAACAATAAAAACATAAGCTCTATAGGTTAGGTAGTTTAAAACTAGTAATAGGATTTTTACCTCCTATAATCCCCTGATATTATAAAGAAAAGTCATTAGGTAATGGATTTCTGGATATCAGATAAATGAAATTAATAGACTAATATTTAGTTGTAATTATGTATTATAAAGAATATTTGATATAATAAATACATTGTTATTAATAAAAAATTTGCATCTAATACTGCTTAACTTTAAAAAAAAAAAAACCAAATTGATTTTTAAGTTATAAAAAAATTTTAATATATTTATATTCTAAGTATAATAAAAATGTTTTATAAATAAAATTTAAAATAAAATTTTTTATAATAGATTTATATTGTTGTTTCCCTTTCCTATAGTCTATAATATTATAAAAGAAAACCTATTAACTTGATAAGGTAACTTTGAAGAGGATCACTTTACTGGCATATACTGTAGCTCTTGATCCTATATAAGTAGCAATGTGATAAGACAGAGTATGTAGGAGTTGCACCCAGCTTGATATTTATACCCCTAGGCTTGGACTTACTCCAACCAGTATGTAATAAAATATTTACTAGAAGATTAAGGATTATTCCTTAAGGAGTCATGTCCCATTTGACCATATGGCCCTTAGATTTGATAATGTCCAACCAGTGATCAAAACCGGAGTATTCACTAGGAAGTGCATACTTGTATCAATCGGTACAGACTGCAACTGAAGTAAGTTGGTAGTAAAAGTAAAATGTGATAAGAACTCTTGTAATGGTTAATAGGAGTAAAGGTCCTTTAAACAATCCATACCTAGATTGCAAATCCATTCCTGTGGTATAAGTTGGTAATCAGATTAGAAGTTGAGGTAGTATTAGGATTAAGATAACTAGAACAGTTAGTTAGACTCTTCATATAATGATTGTAACTTCAAATATTAAGTTAATAAAAAGTTTGTATATAATATGCTTTGCTTCTAA